GGAAATTCAAATCCCGGGCTTCATTTGCTAGTGCGGTATGCCTACATTACCCCGCTAGTTCGAACTAGCTGGGTAGTGTAGACATACCCTAAGAGTGCACATAAACTATGAATTATCATTAAATGCTACTGATCAGTATAGATTGGGAAAGCCTATATCTTCCTTTCCATGCTTTGATGTATATTAAAAGTGTTTTGTATGAAGAAGGCCTGATAAGCGCATACTCTACCCCTGAGATATTCAGTGAGTCCTTCACCAAACCTGGGAGGACAAGAGTTGACATTCCTGATATATGTAGGGGGGAAAAAAAAGAAGAATTTGTTTAAAAATTAAAAACCAAATAGCCTGCTCCAACCCAACCCAAACAGCCGGCTCATGGCAGAGGTGCTTAATGACAACTTTGTTTCGGTTTTCTTCAAGAAAATTGATGGTGAAAGGATGCCTAACATAGTGAGTGGTGGTGGAAATGGGATAGGTTTAGAAGTTAAAAATAAAAAAATAAATTACTTGGAAAAGTTAGATGTCTGCAAGTCACGAGGCCTGATGAAATGCATCCTAGAATACTCAAGAAGCTGATAGAGGAAGTATCTGAGCCTTTAGCTATCATCTTTGAAAAATCATGGAAGTCAGGAGAGATTCCAGAAGACTGGAAAAGGGCAAACTTAGTGCCCATCTAAAAAGGGAAATAAGAACAACCCAGGAAACTACAGACCAGTCAGTTTAACTTCTGTGCCAGGGAAGATAATGGAGCAAGTAACTGAGATCTGCAAAGATCTGGAAGAAAATAAGGTGATAGGTAACAGCTAGCATGGATTTGTAAAGAACAAATCACGTCAAACAAATCTGATAGCTTTCTTTTGATAAGATGATACATCTTGTGGATAAGGGGCAAGTGGTGGACATGGTATACCTAGACTTCAGTAAAGCATTTGATACAGTCTCTTATCAGTAAACTAGGGAAATACAGTAGCCCCATCTAGGTTGCAAGGTGGGTGCATAACTGACTGGATAACTGTTCTCAGAGAGCAGTTATTAATGGTTCAGAGTCATGCTGGAAGGGCATAACAAGTGGGATTCTGCAGGGGTCTGCTTTGGGACCAGTTCTGTTCAATATCTTCATCAACAATTTAGATATTGGCATAGAGAGTACGCTTAGTAAGTGTGCAGATGATACCAAATTGGGAGGGGTTACCAGTGCTTTTGGATGATGGGGCATAATTCAAATTGATCTGGACAAACTGGAGAAATGGTTTGAGGTAAACAGGATGAAGTTTAATACGGACAAATGCAAAGTACTTCACTTAGGAAGGAACAATCTGTTTCACACACACAATGGGAAGCGACTGTCTAGGAAGGAGTACGGCAGAAAGGGATTTAAGGGTCATAGTGGACCCTTAACTATGAGTCAACAGTGTGACACTTATCAGAGGGGTAGCCGTGTTAGTCTGAATCTGCAAAAGCGACGAGGAGTCCTGTGGCACCTTATAGACTAACTGAAGTGTAGGAGCATAAGCTTTCGTGGGCAAAGACCCACTTCGTCAGATGCATGTAGTGGAAATTTCCAGAGGCAGGAATAAATATGCAGGCCAGGATCAGGCTGGAGATGACCAGGTGGATCCAATCAAGGAGGATGAGGCTCACTTCTAGCAGCTGATCTGGAGGTGTGAATTCCAAGAGAGCAGAAGCTGCTTTTGTAGTTAGCGAGCCATTCACAGTCTTTGTTTAATCCAGAGTTGATTGTGTCAAACTTGAAGATGAACTGTAGCTCAGCAGTTTCTCTTTGAAGTCTGGTCCTGAAGTTTTTTTGCTGCAGGATGGCTACTTTTAGATCTGCAATTGTGTGTCCAGGAAGATTGAAGTGTTCCCCTACAGGTTTTTGTATGTTGCCATTCCTAATATCTGATTTGTGTCCATTGATTCTTTTACGTAGGGACTGTCCTGTTTGGCCGATGTATATAGCAGTGGGGCATTGTTGGCACATGATGGCATATATTACGTTGGTGGATGTGCAGGAGAATGTACCAGTGACAGTATGGCTGATCTGGTTAGGTCCTGTGATGGTGTTGCTGGTGTATATATGTGGGCAGAGTTGGCACCGAGGTTTGTTGCAAGGATTGGTTCCTGAGTTCGAGTTATTATGGTGCGGTGTGTAGTTGCTGGTGAGAATATGCTTCAGGTTGGTGGGTTGTCTGTGGGCAAGGACCGGCCTACCTCCCAAGGCCTGTGAAAGCGAGGGATCATTGTCCAGGATGGGCTGAAGATCACTAATGATGCGTTGGAGAGGTTTTAGCTGGGGACTGTAGGTGATGGCCAGTGGTGTTCTGTTGGTTTCTTTCTTGGGCTTGTCCCGTAGCAGGAGGCTTCTGGGTACATGTCTGGCTCTGTCAATCTGTCTCCTCACTTCCTCGTGTGGGTATCGCAGTTTACAGAATGCTTGTTGAAGATCTTGTAGGTGTAGGTCTCTGTCTGAGGGGTTGGAGCATATGCGGTTGTACCTCAGTGCTTGGCTGTAAACAATGGATCGTGTGGTGTGTCCGGGATGGAAACTGGAGGCATGCAGGTAAGTATAGCGGTCGGTAGGTTTTCAGTATAGGGTGGTATTGATATGACCGTCACTTATTTGTATCGTGGTGTCCAGGAAATGGACCTCCCGTGTAGATTGGTCCATGCTGAGGTTGATGGTGGGGTGGAAGCTGTTGAAATCATGGTGAAATTCTTCCAGAGTCTCCTTCCCAAGGGTCCAGATGATGAAGATGTCATCGATGTAGCGTAGATAGAGAAGGGGTGCAAGTGGACGAGAGCTGAGGAAGCGTTGTTCCAGGTCAGCCATAAAAATGTTGGCGTATTGTGGGGCCATGCGGGTGCCCATAGCAGTGCCACTGGTCTGGAGGTATATGTTGTCACCAAATCTGAAATAGTTGTGTGTGAGGATAAATTCACAGAGTTCAGCCACCAGTTGTGCTGTGGCATCATCAGGAATACTGTTCCTGACAGCTTGTACTCCATCTGCATGTGGGATGGAGTACAAGCTGCATGTGTGACACTGTTGCAAAAAAAAATGATTCTGGGATGCATTAACAGGAGTGTTGTGAGCAAGACACGAGAAGTCATTCTTCCGCTCTACTCTGTGCTAATTAGGCCTCAGTTGGAGTATTGTGTGCAGTTCTGGGCTCCAATTTCTCCACATCTTTCTTGAAATGTGGTGAAGATCTAGAGAAGAGCAACAAAAATGACCAGAGATCTAGAAAACATGAGCAATGAGGGAAGACTGAAAGAATTGGTCTTGTTTCTTTTAGAAAAGTGAAGACTGAGAGGGGACATGATGGCTTTTTCAAGTATTTAAACGGGTGTTACAAGGAGGAGGGAGAAAAATTGTTCTCCTTGGCCTCTAATGTAGGACAAAAAGCACAATGGGCTTAAACTTCAGCAAGGGAGATTTAGGTTGGATATTAACCATCTGACAGGAAGTTTTTCCTAAACACTAGAATAAATTGCCTAGGGGAGTTGTAGAATCTCCATCACTGGAGATATTTAAGAGCAGTTTGGATAGACATCTATCAGGGATGATCTAGACGGTGCTTGGTCCTGTAATGAGTGCAAGAGACTGAACTCGATGCTCTCTAGAGGTCCCTTCCAGTTCTAGTATTCTGTGATTCTATGAACTCCCCCACCCCACCATTTCCAGACTGTCTTTATATGGTACAGAAGTAAAAACACACACCAGCAAACTTTTCTTTTTAATTTTTGCACTCTGCAGGTCACCTTTAAAGGAAACAGGAAAGTTTCTTTTTAAGGTTATCTGATGACATATTTCTGGGTAAAATTCTATATACAGTCGGTCCCCAACTTACAGATGAGTTATGTACCAAACGCTTGGTTGTAACTTGATCTGTTCGTAAGTTGGATTACATTCACTTACGTACAGCTGTGCTGTTCGTAAGTGCGGATTTCGTTCGTAATTTGGGGACCGGCTGTATACGAGGTTGGTCGTAAATACGAACGGTCGTAAGTCGATGCATTCATAACTCGGGGACCGGCTGTATGGTTAAATTACTTTTCACTTGAATTAATTTTTTTGCTCCTCACTTGCATGTGGCCCCCGACTGATTTTTCTCTGGGTCAGCAAGTCCTGACCCAGAAAAGGTTCCCCTCCCCATTTTAGGCGTTGGTGTTCGACAGAGGCACTTCCTTTTATTATTACCAAGAAGGTGCTAGGGAACCATAACTCGGGGACCGGCTGTATGGTTAAATTACTTTTCACTTGAATTAATTTTTTTGCTCCTCACTTGCATGTGGCCCCCGACTGATTTTTCTCTGGGTCAGCAAGTCCTGACCCAGAAAAGGTTCCCCTCCCCATTTTAGGCGTTGGTGTTCGACAGAGGCACTTCCTTTTATTATTACCAAGAAGGTGCTAGGGAACCTAGGCCCCCCCCCCCCCCCGCTGCCTCTGTTTCAAAAGCAATGATGGGGGTGGGCGGAAAGCAGGAGCCCATGCTGGGGAGAGCTGGCTTAAAAGCTGGTTCCCCCCAACACCATCTCCATGGTGCTGCCTCCCTTTCACTCCACCCCTCTTCCCCGCTCCCTGCCTCCCCCCATGCTGCTGCCTCTATCAGCCTTGCCTGCACACCCAGCTGTTACTACATATAAACTACAGAGCAGCGGCAGGGGTAGCTCCTGGACTGGCATGAACCAGGACTGAGCACCTTCCCTTATCGACTAATTGTGTAGTCAATAAAAAATTTATCGACTATATGATTGGTGAATTGCCTGCCTCTTAACATCCTTAATGTAACCACACGCTTTTCTTCAGCATCATGTCTTCGGCTGACTCCTTTACACCATCTAAGACTGATTTCACATGAGGGGAGTAATGCAAAATTGATGACTTAATGCATAAAGCTCAGGCTGCATGCAAATATATTCCAGGAATTTTTCTTGATTAATATTCCAGAAATATTGATCTATTCTAATAATTAATGCTTCTGTCTTTTGTTTGATAGGACTTTCTCTGTGGTGAAGGGGCATTGGATGAGCTAATCAACAGATTGTTGGAGACTGCAGAAATGGAGGCTCTAATTGAACATTTAGAAAACTTTAAATCTTTAGAAGGAGGTGGCTGATATGTGTCTTGTACAAAATGCCACATCAGTCCTTGTGATCCTGTAGTGCAATAAAATAGTATTTCTTAGAGGTCTGATGTTGATAAAATCTATGTCTTTCTCATAGTCTTCTATGGTTAAATATGACACATTTATTTTTAACTGTGCAACATGCTTTTGAAAATATTTTACACATTAGAATTTCAGCTCTAAGTTTGCATTATTGTTGCATGAATTTAGTTTTGATGAAAGATGCCAGCCTAAGAGCAAACTGAAATCTTCAGTTTATCCACAGAACAGTATGTAGGGTTACCAGGTAGCTTTAAAAACATACCAGACACACTTCATGGGGGGGAGGGCTGGCTGGGAGGAAAAGGGGGGAGCCGGGAAGCAGAGCGGGTGGGG